CTTGCAGTGATGAAGTGATGTTCCGGTTTGCCAGCATGCTTTTGATCCAGTTACAAGTTAGTTTGTCGATTCCTCTTCTTTCAATAGAAGAGAACAAAGACTGAGGAAGGGCGTTGTTAAACGCGCCTTCTATATCTAGGAAGGCACCTAGCGCAATCTCCCCGTGATTTAGGGAATGGCCTATTTTGCCTACTAGATTGTGCAGGGCATGATCTGTCGATTTGCCTGCTTGGTAGGCATATTGAGAGGAGTTTAACGGGTTTGCCCGAAGACCTCCTTCTCTAATGTGCCTATCTAGAATCCTCTCTAGTGTTTTTAGAAGAAAGGATGTTAGGCAGATTGGACGATAAGAGTTTGGTAGGGAGGTATCTACTCTACCTGCCTTGTGTATATACACGACTTTCGCCATCGTCCATCCTAGTGGGATATAGCTCCACGCCAGGCTTGCTCTAAACAACCGCACAAGGAGAGGTAGCAGGAGTTCCTGTCCTTTTTGTAAAAGGGCGGGAAAAATTCCATCCTCTCTGGGTGATTTGAAGGGGGATAATAAATTCATCGCCCATTTCACGGCGTTTGGAGAGACAATTTGTGCCACAAAGTTCCAGTCCTCCTTTTTGGGTCGTATAATCGATTCCGTTAAAGGAAGGGGTACATGTTGCCTGTCCTCCAGGATTCGACTGCCTGGGAAGTGTTTCTGTAAAAGAATCTCTAAAGTTTCCTTACCAGAGTCCGTATAGGTGTTGTCGGGTCTTTTTATCGAGCCGACTTCCTGTTTCGGATCTTTGGCGAGAATCTTGTGAAGTCTGGTACTTGCAGGTAAGTCTGATATACTCTGACAGAACTTCCTCCACGATTCTCGTTTGGCCTTTTTAATAGCCTTGTTGTACTCCGTTAGAGATTTGCGGTAGTTTTCCCAACAGCCAAATTCTTTAGCTCGATTGAAGAGATGTCGAACTTCTTTCGTTTTTTGGTCGAGGTTTCTGCTCCACCATGGAGTACTCCTTTAGTGGGCAGTTGTCCTGATAGGCAGTAATAAGGGCATTTTGAATTTGATCATTCGCCACTTTAATCTCTGCGCTATTCTTAATAGTTTTAATTACGTTTCCAAGCTCCTCCTGGAGGGACTTTTCGTATCCGCTCCAGTTTGTGCTTTTAGGGTCACGGAATTGGAGAGTAGGTATCCGATCCGTCCTCATGTCAAATCTAATGTGCCGGTGATCTGAGCATGAGGGTTCGGTGGATACCCTCCAGTTAACAATATTGGCACTCACAAACGACGTACTGATTGTTATGTCTAGAACTTCCGAACGATTTTTCGTCACGAAAGTTGGTTCCGAACCTACGTTGTTAACAATAAGCCCTTCACCGATTATATAATTATAAAGTTGCTCACCTCGTATATTGATGTCGGTACTTCCCCAGTCCCTGTGGTGGGCGTTAGCGTCGCACCCAATAACGAGCTGCTTGTTGTTCCTCTTACAATAGGCAACTAGTTCTCGCACTATCGCTGGAGGAGGGGGTTGGTCTTGACCTGAGTCTCCCTGGAAGTAAGCAGAGCAGACTACTAAATCCTTGCTGTTCTCCACCGGGATCGAGACCTGGGCTGCAACCACATCGGGGGTGCAGTAACCTGTTAACATAAATTTTTTTATATTATTTCTGATAAGAAGGCACGCTCTTGGTTTGTCCGGAGAGTTACCGGCTACCAACTTACCCGAACAGTTTCCAAGGCCGCTTATTCGGCCGTTACTGGAAATCCAGGGTTCCTGGATAAAAGCGATATCTAGTTTCTCCCTGGCAAACCTCCTGCCAAGGACGTATGAAGCCGCTTGGGCGTGGTGGAGATTTGCCTGGAGGAAGAGCATCGGCTTGCCCATTATTAGTGAGTGGGAGGGATTGGGGGAGGGGGTGGTGGAGGTGGAGGAGGATCGTTTTTCTCGCTCCTATTCTCCGTATTTCCCTTCCCTTTGGTTTTGGAGCCTTTGCGCACTGCTCTCTTGGACAGGGGTTGTTTCCCCTTGTCCTTTGAGGAGGCGGGCCTCCAATGAGGTTTCGCGGGTCCAGGGATCCTCTTGTTAGCCACTTCGGCTGCAGGAGTGATCTTTTCACGTCCTGCGTCCTTGGCGACCCTACTCGAGGTTTCCGAGACAGACGGCATCTGTTGAGAGTCTGTTGTTGGGACTCTCTCCACGGTGCCTCTTCGATCTCGGAGCCGGAATTGTACCAGTCCGAAGCCGAAGTAGAGCCGGAAGTTCATCCGTTCCAACTCCCTCATCGAGACATCGTCGATGGAAAGCGTCCAGGTGTGACCCAGCAGGCCTGAGGCTACCCGGTGTAGACAGGTCCACTCCTGGGTTCGCAGGCCTCGGTTCATTATCCTGAACCGCTTTGTTACCTGCTCCCATGTTAATCCGGTGGATCCTACATCGTCAGGGATGTACACCACGCAGATGAACGGCTTTGGTATTTCCTTTCCTTGCACCAACTTTAGACGTGCGTCGTTCCATGGACGAAGTTTGTCCATGGCTCCCTCTAGCCACCGAGCCGTTGTAGCGTCGGCACAGTCCAGAAGGAGATGACACAGGTCTTTCAACAGCTCTCATGATTGAGAGCTGTATAGCTTACAGCTGTTCATTCGAAAGCTGGACGTCAGGGTGCTCTGGGTGAATAATCCCCACTCGAACACCCTCCGCCGTGGCCTTGAATGATCGTCTCGGCTCGACTACAGCATCCCTACGGAGTTTTTTAAGTTCCGGTTTAGGAGTGCTGTCGTCAGAGCGTTGACGTTTGGTTCTGGACTCCTTAGGTGGGGTTTGTTCCCTCACCTGTTGTCCAGATTTTTTAGGTGGACTCGAGAGGGGTGGTTTACCACTCCCTTTCTCCTCCAGCTCTTTAAGGGTCTGCTTCAGGGCGGATTGATGATCAATGCCGCGCTGAAGCATCATTTTGAGGCGCTTCCTGGTCGCTCCGGCGAACCTTTTGGCGTGCCTCTCAGGTTTATTAGAGAAAGTTGGTGCCTTCTCTTTCTCCACCTGAGTTTCATTTCCGTTGGAGTTGAGTGATGCAAGTAAAGCATCCTCCATCTCCTCCGGAATGACGTTGTTTGATGGGGTTGAAGAAACCTCCATCGGTTCATCGCTAGATTGCTGGCGATCGAGGGGATTGTCCCCGTCGTCGTTTGGTTGTTTATTACTATCTTTATTATCCATTCAGATCCCACGAGTAGCTAGGGAAAATGTGGTCAACCACGGCAGAGCCCCGCATGCCGCAGCAAGGCTAGTTACTGCCGGGATGTCGCCTGGTTTCCCGGAGGCTCCGTTCGCAGTGGCGCTCCCCCGCCACCATGCATCCTTTCGGCACGGATCACGTGACACCTTTGGATTGGGAGGTTGGTCAGCGTCACCTTATTGGGTATTCGGTGATGACCTGCAGGATGGAATATCGCTGCAGGCCGTTCGGCCATCCGCCACCTGCCGACGCTCTCAGTAGCCGCCTAAGCCCTGAGCTACCTGATGTTTCTAACATATAGAGAATTCATACGTGTGCCGTTTATGCATAATCTGATGCGTCTACCATAAGACAACGAATTTTAGGTCAAATGTCAATTTGTGAAAATATTGACATGTGCTCTTTCTGCATACACTGATTCAATTATTAATGACAATTGTTTATAAAAAATTCATAAACAAAGTCAAAGCCGATGTATAATTGAGGATAATTCATACTTAATAGGTCTTGCAATAGTTATGTCAATGGAAAATGCATCTGAAAGATTTAAAAAAAATCACCTAGTGAAATTTGATTTTGTTTACTTTTTGTTGGACTTCAAAGCTTTGAATTTCATGCACTCCAAGTGGTGGCAGTACAACATATGCCATAATAACTCATTCATTTATTTATTTTTTCATAATTTGCACAAAAAAATGTATAAAATTATGGCGTTAGTTTCATTGAAATCAGATATTTAAGCATGGAGACTACACAAGGAGCACGCACTCCATGTATAACAAGCGTACTGTGTTAAACAGAGTATTTTAAGAGGGCGCTAGTGTTCCATAAGTACCAAAATGGCATAAGAGAATGAGGCGGTAGTTTGAAATAAAATAAATAATTCTAATTAATTATTAATTATAACTCTAATTATATTTATTTAATTTAAAAACATTTGACACGTGTTTACGTTAATTAAATAATCGGTTACTTTATTTTCACATTTGTTTATTCCTCTATATTCACACCGGTACAAAAGAAAAATTAACGACGCTAGTGGTGAAAAAAGAAAGCTTTATTTATACGATAAAGCGCGGACATACTCTGGCAAATGCCACACTTGAGTGCGTGCTCCTTGTGTAGTCTCCATGCATTTAAGCTAATACAATACACATTTAACAAATAAAAAAATATATTTGTTTTACTTATATTTTGCACATAAAAAAGCACACGGGCGTTAGTGTGATTGAAATTCCATGATAAACAGATTTGTGCTATCTTGAGTTTAATTTTAATAAATAAAAAAAATATGAATACTCAAAAATCGAGAATAGTGCTCGAAAATTGCACAAAATTATAGATAAGGTCCCCATTGTTTGGCCAATGTACTAACTTTATATTATCTTTGTGTGTACAACATCTGCCATGTGAAATTTTTTAAATTATCTTTTATTGGCTTAATGTACACAGGTTTGATCGTTTTATAGGACAGTAATGCCTTCTATGTGGTTTAAAACTCTTTTTAATTTATAAATAGAAATCCAAATCAGCTATGTGAATCTGGACAAATTATAACTTCATAATATTAGCCATGTGACAATGTAGCACATGGCTAATATTACAGGCCCAACGGTATATTTATATTATATCTATATGGTTTTACACAGTGTATCTCTGATGGTACTAAATATTTGAAATTATCTATGTATTATATTAAAATATTGAGAATGTTTCATTGTAAAAATAGATGTTTAGCTTCTGTCTAGCTAAAACCAGTTATTTTTTTTTAGATCTTCATATCCTGTTAGACCTCCAAGAAAAATTGATGGAAGTAACTTAATTCAAACAAAAACTCTCGCCCAAAATATTGTAGACTTAACTCTAGTTGATGATACCAAAAAAGAAGAAGTAGAAATCAGACATAAATCAGATTCAACTGTCGATTTAAATGAGGATGGTGATGACATGCTCAGGCGACGTAGTGGTATGACAGATGAGGATTATATGATTGAAATACGTAAAATCTGTAATCCTGGAGATCCAGATGACTTTTATGAACGTAGTCACAAAGATTTGGGATCTGGTGCTTCTGGTCTTGTATTTGCTGCTACATGTATAAAAAATGGAGAACTAGTCGCAATTAAAGATATTGATATGACAAAGCAACACAAAAAAGATCTCCTTTTAAGTGAAATTAAAATAATGAAGAATTTTAAGCATAAAAATTTAGTCAACTTTCTTGATGCTTTTGTGGTAAATGATGATCACCTCTATGTGGTCATGGAACTTTTAGATGGTGGCCCACTAACAGATGTTGTAACTGAAACTGTTATGAAAGAAGGGCAGATTGCAGCAGTTTGTTATGAAGTGCTACAGGCTATTAATTATTTACATGAAAGAGGTACAATACATAGAGATGTTAAATCTGACAATGTCTTACTGGGTATGAATGGTACTGTCAAAGTGACAGATTTTGGTTTTTGTGCTAATGTAATTGGTAATGAGCAAAGAGAAACCATGGTTGGCACTCCATACTGGATGGCTCCTGAGGTAGTCACAAGACAAAAATATGGTAAGAAAGTGGACATATGGTCTTTGGGCATAATGATTGTTGAAATGCTTGATGGAGAACCACCTTATCTAAGAGAACCCCCTTTGAGGGCTTTGTACTTGATAACTGCTAATGGAAGGCCAAACATTGTTAGATGGAACACTTTATCTGAAAAATTACAAAGCTTCATTGATCTTACACTACAAGTTGATGTTGATAGAAGAGGTACAGCCAGGGATTTGTTACAGCATGAGTTCTTGTTAGAACGAATGGAGTTGAAGACTCTTACTCCCCTCATTAGGGCTGCCAAAAAGATGTTGCACAAAACTTAAAAGAGAGTTAAAAATTGATACATTGATTTGGTACTCCTTATTACAGTCAGATAAGTTTTTTTCTACTACTTAAGGATAATTTTAATTCTATCTGGCATTAGTTTCATAAATACTAATCTGTTGGATGACTGGAAAAATCCTTTGTTGATTACATGGGTAGTTTGACCTTAAAACTTTTTAAAACCTAAAATTTTGATTTTAAGCATAAACATTTTATTACCAAATAAAAATTATTGGTTAAAACTTCATTATATTACTTTTTATAGGTGACATTTTTAAAGACTGAAAAAAAAAACTAATTGTATTTATAAAAATTAACACCATTCCTAGATATATCTACATAATTTTTAAATAGTAGAAAAAAAAGTTTTTTTAATGAAACACGTCATTTGACTGTAATTTTGTGAGAACAGTTTCATTTTAAAAAGCTGGGTTTACATAATATAGTGCATGTCTTTTAGAGTATGTTTTGTGAACATACACCATGTTATATCTTGATAAAAGTGCCTTAATTTTTACAAATCTTGACAGTTTGCTTATTTTTAATAATATCAACAGTATTTTAAGCTAAAAACAAAATTTTGTCACAGTTATTTTTTCTATTAACAGTTCTGAAGTTAATATTGAAATTTTGTATTTTATTATATTATTTAATATGCAGTATTCGATTTTCTGTCGCAAATAGTTTTAAATTGGATTATTCTCATTCTGTTTAATTTTATAGCTTTGCCATCAAATGATGGATATTCCTAAACTATTAAAATTATTTTTTAGTTCTTGTTTGGGAATTACACTCTGAAAAAACATTTTAATATTTAAAGTAATGAAATATTTATTCCTTGGCATTATTTTTCAAAAAAAGCAAATTTAAATATTTTTTGTTTTTTAATAGAATTCGTTAGGTACAACACAACGATCAAAAACCGCCACAAGTCAAATAACAAAGAAAATTACATTTTTGGTTTAATGGATGCAAAATATCATTGAGTTTTTATTTTAAATACCGCCATAAACCAAAATATCCTTAGTGATACCCGAAAATCATTTAAAATCTAGCCACATACTGTACCTAAAACCGCCTTAATTTGGGTTATTTTCTGCAAAAACACACAAATTTTTTACAAACTACGCAATAACCCAAGTTAGGGTGCTTTTAAAATCGTAATCGTTAATTTTAACAGCAAAATGTTGTAGCACTTTAAATAAAATATAAAGATTTTATGCCAAATGAAATTCCTCAAAACAATAGTATTTTAGTTGTGGCAGTATTTCATTGAACCTTCGAATGTAATTTCAGTAATATCCATTAAAAAGTTATTTCTTCGTTTAAAAAAGTTAGTTGTGCCAGTTTAGGTCATTTATAAAATCTGATCCAGTATTTTGAATAATATGGTGAGTTACTTTATAAAATAAACAAATTTTCTTTTGTACTATTGTGACACAAATTTTAACTATTTTTTGAATTTATATTTTTTCCTATTGGGATTTGATTAGTAAAATGCTTTTAAAGTTAAAATGTTGTCAATATATAATTTAGAGAAAAAGATTTGATACTATTTAGAAGAAAGAAAACAACCTTTTTGGTCCTTACCACCAAATTTGGACAAGTGTTCAAAAGTATAAAACATTATGTATCATGCTTTCTTTCTATTTTTTAGTAAGGTGGATTATGTAAATTATTACTAATTCCCTTTTTTAAGAAATGCCATACTTGTATTTAATATTGTAAAAATTATAATTATTAATATTCAACTCAGATCATTTGGCAAAGACTGAATACGTTTCTAAACTTATGTAATGTGTTCCAATATATATGTATAAACAATTATTTTTCTCAAAAACAAAAAAAAACATTTTTATAACAATATAAATCCTGTGTATGTGAATTATCAACAAAAATGTTTCCAAAGTAATCTATGTCCGACGAAGACGGGGATATGAGTCTTTGATAAGGCAACAACTACACCAATAATTGGCACTATTAAACACTGATATGTATTGAATAATTACTTTCACCATTAATAACTTTAAGCATATAATCTTTTTTTCTTGTAATTTTAGTTTATTGGTGAGGTAATTTTAGTTCTAATAATGTTATCTTTCCTGAAATAAGTATTATAGAAAAAGTGATTTGAAGCACCAGTCATTGAAACTTGAGTTTTTTCATGTATCAGTAATTGACACACCGATTGGACCACAGTATGCAATAACGAATTAAGCGTCAAAATTCAAAAATCCAATAAATGGTGCTATCCTTTAATAACCATTGAAACTTATATAACAAAACTTATTCTTAGTTAAAATTCACCATTTTACTGATTTTAAGGACACGTGTATTTAGCGACATTTTCATAGGAAATACTAGCTTACTATTCTTGTTTCTCATAATCATGTAAATGTCGCTTAATTCACAATTAAATAACGGGGTCCAGTTATTGACACAAACTAAATAGTTTTTTTATTAAACTCAAAATTTTAATACACTAAATGAATATAAACAGCAAATTCACAACTTTGCCAGTGCATAATTTTTTGTAGGTGCCAAAACTGTTATGGACACTTCATGTGCAAATAATTGATACCCGGTTAGTGACTGGAAACAAAAAGCTGTTAAAAGGTTGATTGCAAATTTGTTTTGACAGTAGACAACACCAGTATTTGTTTGATGACTAGTAATGGACAGGGTTTGTCATTTACTGGAACACACTGATTTTGCTTGTTCCAGTTATTGACACTTTAACAAAAATGAGGTTATATGATCAAGCCTAAGAACCAGTAAAAATCCCGCTGCAATATTTAATGGACACCCAGAAATATTTTAAATACATTTAACATGAAGTAAAGAGAAATATAGATATTTAATTTGGTCTTACTGACATTATTTTCTTAAGATTACTACACCTGCTCTTTTCTCCATTTTGTCAGATCGTTAAAATGATAGAATGCCTAATTATTAGAATTATCTAGTTTTAGCAATCGAGCAAATGTTCAAAAAATCAGATGAAAGTAAACACGATACAATAACAAAAAGTTAAAATAGGATACATTTGAAGGTATGGTCTGTGTACATTTAGCTCCTAGTCCTGATACAAAAAAATGTTGATGGTCATCGGAATGATAGTGATAAAGAATCTCAATTAAGTTTATTAGAAAAAAACACTTTTTCACCACAATACCAGAGTAAAAACCAAATAAAGGATCAACATGAAAACGATTACTACTAAGAAGAGAGTACAGTACAAAAAAAATGGTCGCCATTTCTTTAAAAACAAATGGTCAAGAAAATCTGACAAAAAAGTAAAAGTGGCTCAATTTGAGGTTAAATCGCACACAAATTCTTCTATCAGAACTAGAGGTTTAAACCAAACAATTTGCAGTCGATGAAGTAAATTATACAGTCCAGATGAAATGACTAATAAATTTGGTGGATCCATTGTTACAAGTAACCAAACCTAAAAAAATAATTGATTAAATTAAAAAAGATGTTTCAAATACTACAATATTTACAAAACGAAAATTTAGAACAGAACAAAGCTAAAAAGCAATTCAAAATACAACGAAAGAGGCCCTAAGAATTGATAATGCATTGGATTTGTCTACAATTGAAGAAGAATTACTACTAATAACCACCAAAAAGGAAGCTCGTATAAAAAAAATCAGATAATTCTAATAAAAATAAAGAATTTACTGAAAGTAAAATTAATAAAAATCCAGATGGAAGTATGAAGATCAAGTATGGGAGTTAATACAACAGATAAATAGACAAAAAAAGATCGAAATAAAATAGTGATGCTTTCAAATTTTCAGAAAAAATATTAAAGGACCAGAGTGAAGTTCCTGAATATATTTCACAAAAATCAAATGTTGAGAACCTATAATGGGCTATAATTCTTATCCGGAATCGTACCAAAAAGGTAAAATTTAAAATATTGAAGATCTTATGCACCAACTGGCTCCAAGCTGGACTGCTACTGCTTTTTTTAATAACGAAATGGTGACAATTACATCGAGCGACTATATTGGAAAATATTTAGTACTATTTTTTGTCCTTTCAATTTTGCATCATTTTAGCCATTGATAACTCCTATGTCTTTTATTGAGTTAATTACATAAGTCATTGGATGTTCAGTATATTCCTTTTTTTACTCACCGTGTGCGATTAAATTATGATAAAATAACAATTTTAGAAATCTAAAATTTCCTCAATTGGCAGATAATAATCATAAGACTTCAAAAGCATATATGATGTACTTTGAGAAGTTGGGTCACTCGTACAGGGGCTTTTATATAATGGATCCAGAAGGAATTATTTTTGTAATAATTGTGGCTGATGTTTCTCTAGGTCTGGTTGAATTTTTTATTATAATTCGAAAACATAATTTCGTAATTCTATGTAATTTAAGTATAAAAATTATTTTGTAACTGACTATTATAGAGCCGCCTAACATCCTTTACGTAGGATGCTTAATTGCTAAATATTCTAATACCGATGTTTCAGAAAAATTTCTCTATATCAAAATGTTCTTATTTTTGAAGAACAGTAGTGTCAATTATTGGTACACTTAAATTCAAACCGACACATAAACAAAAGAATTGTACGCTCAGAGATGCGTGAATTTTTCCTAATCTGAATATCATTGACTTATGGGGTTTGTCAAACTTATTGAACTTGGAATATTGAGAACGGAACAAATTAATATATTTCTTTGAAATCTTGTTTAATTTGCTGTTAAATATTTACTTTCACTTAAAAAATACACTGACCAACAAAAAAAGAGAATCGCTAAAATATTTTCTTTAATAGTACCTATAAAATATTTATTTAAGTGTTTTTGAGTTGACTTGGATTTGGGATGTATTATTTTTCAGTTTATTTAATATTGTTTTAAGCCTGGACTTTACAATAAGACATATCCTTATCAGCAACAAAAAAGAAATATGAAAAATTATCACCCATGTTCTTTATGTTATCCATGTTTAGAGATCTTTCCACTTTGTTTCTTCAGATAATCTTAGGGTTGTCTGCTTTTGTTTTTCAACCTAAAAGTGTGTATTAAAGCTCTTACTGAAACTCCTGAGCTACTACTACTGTTTTCCTATGAAATAATGAATGCTTAAATAATTCAAATAAATCGTTTTCTTCTTACGTAGTTAATGCAAGCAAATTCCTTATAACTCGTTCAATAACATATTCAAGTCCATTTTCATGAATAATCGAGACAAAAAATTCCATCTAAAAGGGCTGATTTTTTTTGGCTCAGCATAAGAGACGAAACCCCATGTCAGTCTTATCACACAACTATTTAATTTTGTTTACTTAAAAATTACTGCTCTGTTTTTTTAATAAATTGTTTCACATAACGTGACATATATGCTGGAATTATATTAATGGGATATAGAAATGTCTACTATTGTCGCCTTTAAAGGTGCTCAATAATATTCCATCCAATTTTTTGGTATAAAAGTATTTTTCTACTTTAAGTGCAATTGGTACTGGCAATTTTTAAAACTATTCTTAGTCTTAAGAGGAAACATGTGATCTACCTATTATTGTTAAAAAACAATTAGTTTTCTTATCTTTTCAACGTATTATTATTGATTGAATAAATTGCATTAAAAATGTGAAAGATTATATCGGACCAAATATTTTTAATAGTTTTTTTTTTATATCGTGATTAGGATAAGTTACATATATTTTTAAATATACCAGTCATATTTTATCAGATTTTGTTAGAGATTTTATAAGTATTTTTGATCGCATATACATATTTAGAGTAATTATTACCGAGTGTGCATTTAATTAATTTTATTATAAATAAAAATGTAATAAAAGTATTTATTGTTTCATTAATATCCAAAGAAGTGGCGTCATTTAGAGATTTGTCACAAATTTTGAATGTAGTCATAAAAGTGACGCTTATAGTTGTTTATATGTGGGTTAACAATTTACTTCATTAATATTTGGAAATGCAGATAATAAAAATGAATTTATCTGTTTCCAAAATGAATGTTTAGATTTTTTATTGTTCCGGAGTTGAAATGGATAGATTTTTCATATTAAAATAGTGGATGATACATTTTTACTTTCCTATCTGTATACAGATATAAGGAAAGTATAGGAATCATGATTTTTTTCGACCTCGAGTTTTCGACGGATTTTTACGTTTTGAGGTCCCCTGGATCCGTTTTGACTATTTTCGCGATGATGTCTGTGTGTCGCATAACTCATGAACCGATACACAGAAAAACACCAAATTTTAAACTTAAGCTTTGTTCCAGCGTCCAATGAACTGATTAGATTTTGAGCAGAGTCGGAACATCTGGGGGGTACTTTATAGGCGGTCATTTTTATATTTTATGGAATATATCTGTTATTTACGTTTGGAGAAGAAAATTCTTCGAATAAAAGTTACTTCTTATATTATTATCTATAATTTTTGTTCTATATAAAATTTTCCTAAAATGGTCCGTATTCGAGAAATTTGATAAAATGTAAAAAAATATTTTTTTATAAAAATTATTCAAATAAAAGTTGTTTGTAATATAATTCTCTATAATTTTTATTCTATACATAATTTTTCTAAAATGGACCGTATTCGAGATATTTGAGAAAATGTGTATACTTCGAAATTTGAAGAAAACTTAAAAACGGATAAAGAAAAAAACATTAAATTTTAAACTTAAGTTTTACTTCGGCCTGACGTGAAATGATTAGATTTTAGACAAAGTAAGCCGGAACATCTGGGGGGGGGGGGTACTTTATGGGAGGCTGTTTTTATATTTTATGGAATATATCTGTTATTTATGTTTGGAGAAAAAAATTGTTCAAATAAAAGTTACTTTTAATATTATCTATAATTTTTGTTTTATGTCAAAATTTCCTGAAATGGTCCGTATTCGAGAAATTTGACAAAATGTGCAAAATTCTGATTTTTATGAAAATTGTTGAACTAAAAGTTGTTTGCGATATCGATCTGTATAATTTTTGTTTATACATGATTTTTCTAAAATGGACCGTAATGGAAAAATTGTAGGAAAAGTGCTAAATTTAAATTTTTCATTATTTTCGTTTTCAATGAATATCTATAGAAACATGTTTCGAGGTAGATGTATGTGGAAAATGTATATATTTAGTTTATCCTCTAAACATTTATAGGGGTGCTGCAATAGGTTGTACAAAATAACCGGAAAAAGCCTATAATAACTAGATAGGAAAGTCATGTGTTGGACACATCAGATTTTTTTACTTAACTTCAGGATGCCTCTTACTAATGGAACTATTTTTATCACTAGCAATGCCATTTGATGATAAACTTGTTAATTGAAGAAACTACTATTTTTTGTTTAAATCTATTAAATTTTTGAATTACGGAGTTCCATATTCTTAGTCCAGGAGAAAGTAACGATTTTCGGTACTTATTTTCCCAGTCAACAAACATGAATAGAATTGTAGGGTTGGTAATTCTTAAGCAAAATTCATACATATTTAGGGGGATTTTCCCATGAGTTGAGGCGGAAAAAGCGTCAGAACATACGAAAACGGAGCCTTTTTCTTCAGTGATTTTTTTAACACTTTATTATACAAAAAACTTTACAGTATTGTACACTAAAATTAACTTACGTCTACTAAAAGAATATCACAGAATAAAACGCCTCAAAAGGCGAAAATTTTTTTTTTTGCTTTATTTTCAAAATTAATTAGATTTAAACCTCCGTTTTTATAAGGTAAATATCCCTTGCCACCCGGTATAAATGACCCCTCCATATATAGTTTCCTGTATACATTACGATTTTTTGAGCATGTAAATGGGTAACTGGTAACAACTGTGCAATATACCACGCTTTTGAAAGGACATACTTATTTATGAATTGAATTTTTTTTATTAAATCGAATTTACGTATGTAACTTGTCTGCAGACAATTGTTTATGTTCTTTATAATTTGTTCCCAGTTGGTTTTAATCATTCTATTAAAGTTTGAAGCCACCCACATGTCCAAAATTTTTGTTTCCGTCTTAAATGGAAATTTTTCTGGGAAAGATTTTGCTAATTTTCCTAATGGAACAATAAATGATTTCTGAAAATTAACTGCTGCGTTCGAGGCTCCACAATAGATTTTAAGCAGTTTATCTACAATCTCGATGTCTTTTTGTTTTTCAAAGTATATAGTTATGTCATCTGCATAAGAAGATATTTTAATTGTGCGGCTCGAAATTTTTAACCCTGGTAATGAAAAGTCACATATTTTTAAAAATGGTTCCATAGAGATGCTGAAGAGAATCATGGATAGTGGGCATCCTTGTCATATCGAGCTTCGAATATCGATTTTTTTTGACAAAAAACCCTTTATCATAAGAGACGAATTTGCTACACTATATATATTTTTTAAGAAATTAACAAGTTTATCATCAAATGGCATTGCTAGTGATAAAAATAGTTCCATTAGTAAGAGGCATCCTGAAGTTAAGTAAAAAAAATCTGATGTGTCCAACACATGACTTTCCTATCTAGTTATTATAGGCTTTTTCCGATTATTTTGTACAACCTATTGCAGCACCTCTATAAATGTTTAGAGGATAAACTAAATATATACATTTTCCACATACATCTAACTCGAAACATTTTTCTATAGATATTCATTGAAAACGAAAATACTGAAAAATTTAAATTTAGCACTTTTCCTTCAATACGGTCGATTTTAAAAAAATCATACAAAAAACAAAAATTATAGAGATCGATATCACAAATAACTTTTATTTAAACAATTTTCCTAAAAATTTGAATTTTATTACATTTTGTCAAATTTCTCGAATAAGGACCATTAAAAAAAAAATTGTATAGGACCAAAATTATAGATTATAATATTGTAAGTAATTTTTATCTGAACAATTTTCTTCTCCAAACATAAATACCAGATATATTCCATAAAATATAAAAACGGCCTCCCATAAAGTACCCCCCAAATGTTCCGCCTTTGTCCAAAATCTAATAATTTAACCTCAGGCTGAAGTAAAACTTAAGTTTAAAATTTAATGTTTTTTCCTTTATCCGTTTTTGAGTTTTCTTCAAAATTCGAAATTTACACATTTTCTCAAATATCTCGAATACGGTCCATTTTAGAGAAATTATGTATGGGATAAAAATTATAGAGAATTATATTACAAACAACTTTTGTCTGAACAATTTTTATAAAAAAATAATTTTTTTACATTTTGTCAAATTTCTCGAATACAGATCATTTTAGGAAAATTTTGTATAGAACAAAAATTATAGATAATAATATTATAAGTAACTTTTATTTGAAGAATTTTCTTCTCCAAACGTAAATAACGAATATATTTCATAAAATATAAAAATTACCACCAATAAAGTACCCCCCCAAATATTCCGACTCTGCCCAAAATCTAATCAGTTCACCGCAGGCAGGAATAAAGCTTAAGTTTAAAATTTGGTGTTTTTCTTTATATCGGTTCATGAGTTATGGTGGATACAGACACACACACACACACAGACATCATTCCGAAAATAGTCAAAACGGATTCAGGGGACCCTAAAACGTAAAAATCCGTCGAAAACTGGAGGTCGAAAAAAATCATGATTCCTATACTTTCCTTATCTGTATACAGATAGGAAAGTAAAAAATAGTCTGGCTAATCTGTGATTACGAATAATAAATATTATCTGGCTGTGAAAAACTGAAAAATTTTCATCATATAAATTTCCCTCATTTTCACAGTCATGAAAATGTATCAGATGATGTCCTATATTATGATAATGAATCTAAAAATCTGGCTTATATGGAACACCTTGAAAGTTTTGCCAGAACAACAACGGGAGATTTTAAAACAACAGGAAAAGGCTAGAGTAGAGTTCGAAAGGCAAATTAGAACTGAACTGGTTGAGTTAGAAAGACGAATTCACAGCCAAGCTTCAGTAAACAGCATTGAAGCTGCAAACACTACTACCTCGTCTTCATCCTTAACCGAACCAAGCCACATTCGAATCCCAGTTTCATAAAACTATACTAGCAAGACCCTTAAGCCACCCACGTTTGACGGTCAGACAACATGGAAATCATATCAACTCCAATTTGAAGCTGCAGCTAGAGCCAATGGCTGGACCGAGAAAGAGATGGCGGCTTCATTGATAGTGTCACTGCGAGGTTAGGCAGCAACCGTTTTACAGTT